TGAATCTAATCATTTTCGGGAGTCTAATTAAATTTTTATGTTATGTTGTACATCATGTATCACGAGATATAAAAATTTTAAAATTTTTATTCAGGCGATGCAATATTTTTGATCGCCACTGTAATCTTCAGTAGTTACCCGAACCGGCATCGATGGATTTTAAAGATAGATGCCAACTATATTATATGGATTTGTAGCCAGAAAAAATATCTATAATTTTAATTAGAAGCGTTTTTCATAGTATTTGGTGAAAATTTAGGCTTTACCTAGCTATTAATAAAAACGGCCAAAATTTATTAAAAATAAAAAAAAAAATAAAAATAAAATCCGAAAATAATTATCAATCGCATTTACATATAAAAGTTTTTTATTTACTAAAGTAGTAACAAAATTAATACTAAGGAACATTATAGCTAAGAATATATAGCATCTTTTCTGAAGTATTTAGAAATATTTAATTAAAATTGAGTAATGTTTAAATTCTAGAGAATAATTTTTAAATGTCCGATGTTCAACCATTGATATTAAATTCAATTTGTAAGAAAAAATTCTAAAACTTCATAAAAGATGCTCACATTCTTAGCTATAAGATTAATTGGCAACACATTTGCTGTTTTATTAATAAATTATGAATTTTTATATGTAGTAACATTTGATAGTTATTTTTTGAATTTTTCTTTATTATCGACGGTAAAATGATTGACAATAATGCCTTAGAAATTTGCGCGGTGGGCAAATTTATTGTCGATCATTTTATCTTTGAAATTTAAAAAATCCGAAAATAATTATCAAACGTTACTACATAATAAAGTTCATTATTTATTAATAAAAAAAAATATGTTGATGGTTAATCTTATAGTTATGAATGTGGAACATTATTTGTAAGTTTTTAGAATTATTACTTACGAATTGAATTTCATTTCAACGGCTGAACGCCAGACGTTCGAAAATTATTTTCTGATATTCAATCGCACTCAATTTAAACTTAATATGTCTGAAAACTTTACATAATATGCTATATGTTCTCAGATTTAATGTCACTTAGTATTACTTTTATTAGTAATCTAGTAAGTGAAACACTTTGATATGTAGAAACGATTGATAATTATTTCCGGATTTTTTTAATTTTTTTAAAATTTTTTTTAATAAATTTTGGTCGTTTTTATTCACGTTTAAGAAAAATCAAAATTTTCACTAGATACTCGAAAAATGCTTCTAATTAAAATTATATATATTGTTTCTGGCTACAATTTCATATGATATAGTTGGCATCTGTCTTTAAAATCCATCGATTCTGATACGGGCAACGATCAATGATTAAATTTATTGTTTTTTGGCAATTTTATTTGAAGTGTAATTTCTTTATATAGGTATTTAATTTTAACAAAAAATATATCACATGATAGCCCTGATTTAGGGAATCTGATAAAAAAAAAGTTTGTGTTATATTTTAAAATTTATTTCAAAAATTGCTTATTTTGTCAATAAATTTTTCCAATTTAATTTTGTTATTAGAATTAGAATGAATAAAATTTATGATATACCAAAAAAATTTACCAAAGTATACATAATTTCAATAAAAAGAAAAAATTAAATAAAATATATTCTCAAAAAAAAATAATAATTCTTTTCGCGCATAATGTGCCCATTTTTATTATTATTTCTTTTTTAGAAAATTTAATTCAACTATTTCTAGTTTATTTCGATTATTTTTTATGTTTTACAGTCAACCCTTGATATAAGAAATTTCGCCTTTGAAACTGACTAAACATTGAATTAAATATACATTATTTTTTTTATTTTTAATTTAAAGTATTTACCTTTTAAATTATTGTTAAGGAATCAATATTAACATACAAACAATTTCATGATATCTCAATTAAAATTTGCTAAATTAAACTTTGTTTGAAATATAAAATTAGATGCTTAGAAAGAAAATTTGACCAATTAACATAACAAAATAAATAATCTTTTCAAAATCACCTTATATGGCGATTTTCGATAATTTTACAGCTAAAAAGTTAATCCATTTTTCACCAGTGTTCGCTAATATTTTAAAATCGGCTTAGTTGCAAAAGCAAAAAACTTCTAAATATAGAAATAAAATTTGATTTTTTGATACTTTAAGTAACGTGCGCAACTAATTATTCTATGGACACGTGGTATTCATGATAAGTAACGTGATGCAACTAATATTCACTGTTCACGTGATGTTTAAATATGAACTTTCGGCTTAGAACACTATCGACAGTTTTGATATTTTTTTTGATAGACTAGCTTTACCATAAATGGGAGTTTTATAAGTAAAAATTTTTTTTCACTAATAAAACTTCCATTTATGGTTAAGCTTGTCTATCAAAAATATCAAAACTGTTAGTTTGTGTAAATTTAACAATTGAAGCAATTTTTATAGGAAATCAGTTTCACAGGCGAAATTTCTTTACACCTATCATTAAAACTTTTGTATTGTTATTATGAAATATTAGATTTAATTTTTAATTTTTCTCATTCATTTCCTAAACTTATCAATGTCCAAAAATTGCAATATTTATAATATAAAGATTACAAATCCTTTTTTTCTTCTTAATATTATATACAAACAAGTATATCAAGCGAATTTCATTTTTAATATGGAAATCTATTCAGACGAATTAAGAGATTGTGGCATTTGCTGGCAAAATGCTTTAAAGTATTTTCATTGTAATTTTTGTGATGAATGGGATTATGGCAAATGTTATGACTGTGGAGATCAAAACATTGCATATAAATGGTGTCCAAACTGCAAACCGTTAGAAATAATACCTACATTTTCATCATGGACAAGCGGAAGTGATGAAATTGACCAGTTAATTCAAGAAAATCAATTAAAACCAAGATTTGATGATTATAATTGTTGGAGGTGGATTGATTATACCGAATTAGATAATATTGAATATCTATCAGAGGGTGGATATGGTACTGTATATAAAGCTGTATGGAATAATATGCCAGAAGAGATTGAGAAAAATTATTTAAATGTATCAAATGCATCAAAGATGATAGCAATGAAAAAATTAAAAAATTCACAAAATGTCACTAAGGATTTTACTAATGAGGTAAATATTTACTTATCCAATTTATTTGTATTTTGATTTATTTGATATGATATTTATGATTTTACATTTTAATACAGATCAAAGCGTATCATAAAAATAATTATTTTTATATTATGCCTATCTATGGTATAACTCAAGATCCGATTACAAATGATTATATTATAATTATGCAATATTGTAATGAGGGGGATTTGAAACAGATTATAAGACGAAAAGATAAACCATTAAGTTGGAGAGTTAGATTTTTAATGTTATACAATATAACAACTGCTCTTAAGAATATTCATGAAAATGGATATATCCATTGTGACATTCATCCTGGTAATGCTTTGAAAAATGAATATTACACATATCTAAGTGATCTTGGGTTATGTAAGCCTGTCAACTGTGAAGAAAAATCAAATGAAATTTATGGAATAATTCCATATTTGGCACCTGAAGTATTACGTGGAAAACCATTTACGCCTGCATCAGATATTTATAGTCTTGGAATGTTCATGTGGGAATTAACATCTAGAAAGGCACCATTTGATTATCGTGCACATGATGCGCATTTAATCTTAGATATTTGTAAAGGAATTCACCCAGAGATTGTGAAGGGTACACCAGAGATTTATGTAAATTTAATGAAGTCATGTTGGCAAGGTGATCCCTCTAAAAGACCGACGAGTGAAGAAATATATGATATTATTGGCAAATGGGATATTTATGATGAGGATTCGGAAATCTATAAGATCTTCAAAAAAGCTGATAAGGAAATGGAAAATAATATAAATAATGAAATATCAACAAAACATCCCGAAGCATATGATATAAGTAGACCATTAAGTAAACATATCGATACTGCGAAATTACTTTCAAGAGATATTAGAGAAGGGGATTTAGCTATAGAATGGCCAGGTAAAATATTAATTTTTTAAACTTTAAACTGATAATAAATTAATTTTTTTAATAATCTTTAAATTGATTTATAGATTCTAGTTCAATAAATGTTAACGAAATCAACGAAGAATTAGAACAAATAACTCTATGAAGGGATATTCATTAATTTCTGTTTTTTTTTTATATATTTATTTATCGATTATTTATTGGTCGCTGAGTATGTATAAAACATAATCCCATTTTGTAACTTTTTTTTGGTAATATAGTTGTTGATTAATAAATATTTCATTAATGAATAAATTAATAGAAGTTTGTCCAAGTATTTTTTTTTAGCATTGGCTTTACTAGAAGCAACAATTTTCAATATTAAAAGTTTGGGAAATTTCAAGTCCATTAAAAGCAATCAAAAGATCATAAATGACTGGATTCTCCAATTTTTTAATGAACCTGTTCTAACATAATATCTCCGAATAATATATTGAATTTATTATAGTTAAATATTATTTTTCGAAATAAAATAAAATTTATAATGTTAGCTACTATGAAATTGTAAAATAACCGAATGAACTAAGCGTTGTCAAGAGTATTTTATTAATCAAATTTTTGATGATGCACCTTTCAATTCTTTAATATTGTAGGAGTTCAAATCCATAGTAATAATATTCGGAATTATATTTCTAGTTGGAAAGAAAATTTTACGAGATCTAAAAAAGTTGATGTTCAAGTTGTAGGTATGGATTAATTTTTTCTAATAAACCTTCCCTGGAAATACTAAAATATCTAAACAGTGTAAGACATTGTTTCAAGGTTTCCTTTAATGTTAAAGAAATTATTACTTGCCGATTTATCGAGACAAATAGGTAAATTTGAATTTTTAGCTTTACCTCATCGAATTATATATTCCCAAATTTTACCTTCTTCTAATTGTAAATCACGCTTAAGAATGGAAATTAATGCATCTTCAGGGAGAGAATGAATACCATAAGATTCGAAAATGGTATTAGGGTGTTTGACAATAATATCATTACAAAAATCTTGAATAATATCGAGGTTTTTGACTTGATAATTTGTCCGGTAGACTTGAGCAAATTTCATTCTTACACATGAAGCATTATTATTGACAAGGTGAGTTTGGAGATGTTAACCAATTCATCCAGTTCTAGTTCATTAGAAGCAATCAAAAGCTCAAAGATCATATAATTTTCTGATTTTTCTAACTAATTTATTCCACCTCAAATATACCTAAATTACATAAAAATAATAGTATTATTATGTTTAATGTAAAGAGAGGGTAACAAAAGAGAAAAAGATAGAGGATAATTAAAGGCAAAATAAAAGAAAAACTTACTGAATACCAGACCTTGTAGGCAATAAATTTACCCGTTAGTAATATTACATGCCCAATTTCAATTTCTTGGTTTAGTGGTATAAAGAATTTTATTTGTAAATAAATAATTTCAGCAGGCTCAACATAATTTAATCTCGAAATTGCTACTATTTTCTTTTATACTGTAATAAATTCGTTTGTTGATAGTATTTTAATTATTAAAGATAAAAGTTCCATCAATTATGGTGATTTTTGTAATAGATCAAACTAAATAAAACAAATTGTCAGCCAGTTTTTTTGCTTTACGTTCACTCTTTTTTCATTTCAATGTTTATCCATTCTATCTATTCCATCCATTTTCTATTCCATTTATTTTCTTGCTCATTAAAAATATTATTAGTCAGGTTTTTTTAAGTCTATACTTTTGTCACCCTTATATGTCACCAATAAACCCCATGCAGGTGCATTAAAAGCAAACCCTTATATAAAATGGATTTTGGAAACTTTTTATATAAAAGAAATGAATGGACTCTTGAAGAAGAATTAGCATTTCATCTCATAATGATAATTATACAAATTTTCCATTTCACAAAGAATTATAGTTATCAAAATTGTTTTGTTTTTGGCATGATGGTTTTTAAAATATTTTCATAACATATTTAAATTATTTTAAATAGTTCATCAAAGATAATGATGGATATTTTCCAGTTAAAATTGAAGCATTATTGGAAGGAACTTGTTGCCACGTGCATTTTTCAAACTTTGCTTACTATGATTTGTTAAATTTCAAATTATTTAATTTGTTTAAAATTCATTATAATATATTATTTCATTATTATATTTCCAAATTCAGTATCCATCAAAGTATCATTGTACCTTTGAAGGTGAGAAGTGAAAAATAATATCAAAATCAGGAATAATTAAATACATTCTGTTTTTTTTTTTAGAAATCAATTTCAAGACTATATTTTCTAATTCTTTATAAAACGGAAATGGATTTTTCATCTCAACTTCAATATCGAGAAGTTCTGGGATAATTTTTAAATAATTTAAAAGATTTTTTTTATAAAATGGGAAACAATAAGTATTTGATTTCAAAATTATAGGGTATGTAATCTTTAAGTTTCAGTTCATAAGAAAAGTATTTCATATACATTTAGATTATTTGGTGTAAATGAAATTCTAAACTTCTTTATAATTCAAAAGAAATAACTCAAAATCGTTTTATTGTTTTCCTAAAGAAATGGTTTTTACATTTTTTGATAAATTAGCCTAAAACTTATTGAACTTCTTGATGATGATGCAAACTAAAGAAAATTATTAATTTCAAATTTCAAATTTTTTTGCGCTGCAAAGATTCTTTATTTTATTTTATAATTATTTTGTATATTTTTTAATTTAATTTATTCTTTAAAGCTTGAATCAGAATTTCTTTGGGAAGAAGGGCTTCTTCTTGTTGATGGATGGATTCAATTTCTTCTTGAGTTCACGGAAGATCAGTAGTTCTTTGGGGAAGGTTTTCAGGTGAGTTTTGGATTTCTGGTTGGTTTGGTCTGAGATTTCCAAGAATATTAGTTAGGGTATCAAGTACACTTGCTGCTTCTTGCTCTAGATTTACTGGTTCATGGGTTGGTTCAGGATTTATTACTTGGGTTTCTTCAGGGATGGCATCTTCGTCATTATTACTGAGGGTATAATAAATTGTTGGGGTTCAATGTGTTGTGATTATACATGCCCCCAAAATTAAAAATCCAAAACCCGACCTCGGTTAATTTAAAATGACCCCGAAATTGAATTCCGAAATTCAAAATTAACCCCGAAATTATTATAAAAGACGAAAATATT